TAATTAGAAAACAGTGGGAGATCACTGTTAAGAGGTGCTTTCTGAAGCTCTTTGAAGTTTTGAATCAGATATAGATAGATACAGGGAGAGAGATAGATTCAGAGAGAAAAAGAGCAAGAGAAATCTCAGTATGGGGCCTGGCATTGTCGTGACAGGATGACAGGAAGTTGGGGGGTGTCAGCCAGGAAGAGAGATGGCAAGCCTCTTTTTGAAGTGTGTCTTTGAAAATGTGCCCTTGGTCGCTTCAACTTCTTCATGCTCTTTCTCTCTCTTTGATAAAACATGAGCAAAAAAACAATGTGATAGCCATTCGTGTGTAAATGTCTTGTTCTTGTGGGTTACAGATCTTGAGCTGATCGTATATAACACTGCAGGGCCTCGTGTTTTAGCAGAGCTGGTTTCCGCAGAAAGCAAGAGTTTATACAGAAACTGATACTCAGAAGATAGACATTTGTGTCAGGAACAGTATAAAATGTCCACCTGGAAGTCATGCCAATTCAGAGAACTCAGTGTGTGATAGCATCAGGGTTAAAAACAAAACAAAAAAGGAAGAAAAAAAATCAGTTAGTGTTGACACATGCATGAACAAATATGAACAAATATAAATATGAACAAAAAAAATTTGGGGTCACATTCGGTTTCATTGAATGGGAAAATAAATTGTTGAATTATTGCCCTGACATACTGTGATTTGTTTTTGTTTATCATTGTTCACTCAGTTATCTGAAATTGATTTACAGTTGTAAAGTTCTAAACACACCCAACTGCATGATACACAATCATGTGAATCTTTTATATAACATGATGACTGATGCACTGTGCATGCAAAATTTCTTTAGACACTGCAAAGGTTGTGATATGATGTCACACTATGGCATCCTTCTTAAAGACATGCAATCAACATATTACAAATAATATTAAATACAAAATGTAAAAAATACAATCTACTCCACATTACTGCAACACTGCAGCTTTTACGTTTAAGTACTTGTAATTCAGCTAAGGGGTCACACCGTGACACATCAGTCTTCTATCAGTCACACATCTTCACGTGACACAATTCACAGCTCAGCGTTCACCCAAATCTGGTTCACATGAGTTGCATTTCCAATAGCTGCATTTGCATGCATATGAATGGAAGTCAATGGATTAAAAAGTATAGTGTGGCCATTTATGATGTACATAACAATTTAGTAAGTTTGAATTCTAGAGGTTTTAATATTTATCAGTAGTTGAGCATGACTAGTAAAGAAGTGGAACACACACAAAATAATACGAATCTTCACATAAGTCTTTTCCATACAATGACAGCTCACAGTGACCACAGGCTGTCTATTAAAGCATTATATTACACTAGATGTAAAGCATTCAGAAGGCAAGATTTGTGTGAGGAATAAACCAGATTGAAGTTGTTGTCTCTGATAATATTCACCTTTGTTCTCCAGTGTCATAACTAAACATAATGAGAGCAAACCTAGAACACAATTAATGTGGACTAAATTATTGTGGTTTTAAATTATGCTTTTTTTTAGTCCTTGCTGCAGCTGGATAGGTTGTGGTCACGTTGAACTATCACTGTATAAAAAATATCTATATGAAGATTTTTCAAATTTAATTAATGGGTGAATGAGTAAATAATAACAGAACGTTCATTTTTTGGACAATTTGTTCTGTCAGTGTGTAAAAGGAGGAATATTCACCCCGTTAATCTTTGAGCAATATAAGGAACTTAAGAAGCTGGATCACGGCATCAAATGCAAGAGGAAGTTAGCAGCTTCAAAATGGAGAACTGTGCACAGGGTTTTAACAGGATATCCTCAAAGCAAAAGCACCTCTCCCCTGCTGTCATTCGCCATGTTAGATGTTGCACTTAACGTGGCCAAAAAACAGTGCATAAACAGTGCATTTTGATACATGTCAATCATGAATTATATTGTCAACACTTTAAACCTTCAGCCTACGTCCCTAGTAACTGTTGCATCAGCATACCGCTCTGCTTCCAGATCTGTAGTTCATCAGCAGCATCACTTTAATTTTCCAGTTCTGTCTCACTGCATTATATAAAGCAGATGAGATAAAGTGATGTTGCAAATCAAAACCTTATATTATGTTCCTATGCAAATTCCCCCTCCCCCTTCCGAAAAGCAGCTTCAGACTCACATGTTTCAGAGCCATCTCATCCTCCATCTTGAATCATCACTGTCTGCAGGTCAGCATATACTCTAGAAACACCTAAAATATTTGTTTGTGTTTATGGTTACAAATCTTAACAGAAAGCAAACTAGTCTTGACATATTTGGGTCTAAAGCAATAAAGGACTAAATAATAAACCAGACTAAAAGATGCCAGTTTGACTGCATGACTAGACTTTGTATGGCCGCACTCTCACAATGAAAGATACTTCTTGTATTCCTTGCACCGCTGTGATGCATCATTCATGGGAAACATGCTTCGTTCACTAGTAACAGCCCAAATGTTTACACCCTAATGAAGTGCCCAGTTGTCTAAGCCAATGTTTCCAAACATATTTTGACTTCCGTACCACAACAGGCCCTTCAGTAAAGTTTAAATAATGGCTCCATCAACATCAGACCCAGAAATGGGTCTAAATAATAAATAATTGTTTTAAATATTATTAATCTTACTTTTAAAAATAAAAACTGAGGAAAAAAAGTTAGGACTTATATCCTGCAACAAGTGTCATCCACACAAGTTTATAAATTTGCACACATCACACATTTTTTTGTTTTCTTTCCTTAAAACAAAGAGATTAAAAAAAATTATAATTGTAAAAAAAAAAAATTATAATAAACAAGTGATAATTTTAATCTATTAACAAAGCAAATACTAAATCCTTCCCTGGAAGTACGTATTAATCACTGGATTCATAACAATCTCATCACGATCTTGTCGCTCACAGAATAAAACTATACCTTCATAAGAATGTGACCCATGTGCAACTGCTGTTTCCTTTTTTGATGAAAATCAGTTGACATGTATTATGTGTGGCATAACTTCCTGCACACTACCAGAGGAATGGTACAAGCCAGAAGATGCTCTTCCTTCTGTGTATTAACTTGCCCATGAATGTCTCTTTGACCCCCAATCTGTCAGCCCAATGCTGCACATCTCTTTTAGCCAAACACAACTAGTAGAAGTTAAATCACAAAACCTGTAGATAGGTTATTTTATGTCCCAAAAGAGAAAGATATATGAAGATAAAGTGTATTCAGGCATGGCATTTTAGATTTAGGAACCAACCTGATACTGAGGCTATAAAAACTAAAATACAAAGTGTCTCACGTGACAAATGAGGAAATTACAACTAATCTACAAACGAAGTAGATCCAATTAAGTGCTTTTAAGACATTTGCAGTGCCCTTGAAAACTGTATAACTGCTATCAATCCAGTTTCAAATGAATATTTAAAAATACAAGAAATATAAACCATTATGTTTACAAACACCTTTGAAGGTAACCGGTGAAAAACAGATATTAATAAATAAATCAGTTTAAAAATTAAACTCTTCACTCACCCATCTCCGACCACCACGCACTTTATTGCTTGCATTTTCCGATACTTTCCGAACTTTGCCGGCTGCCGCTATAAAACAACAGTTAAGGAACCAAGTTGTAATACAGGAAGCAGATTTGCTTCTTCAGTCTCTCCCTCTCTCTCTCACTCGCTCTCTCTCTCTCTCTCTCTCTAATCTGCGCAGTGCGCACTCGCTCATATGGCTGTGACAGTTTTGGACGTGTCTGTGTAGTGTCGAACTATATGAGGAAGTATTCAACTTTTAAGTGGAAGACACGAACGCGCTCTATATCAATGCGTTACATGCATTAGAGTCCACAAGAGGGCAATGTCGAATCATCAGTGAGAGTGCCCATTTAAAGTGCACTTAGTAACATGTCCCTCAAAGAAAAAAAAAGTTTTAGGACTAAAGAACTCAGTAATACTTACATATGCTATTGTCAAACTAATGTGCACTAACATGTAATGAAGTTTCCAGTCATATCAGTAACCTAATGTAAACCATATAACATATCCTACTCGTTTTTCATTTCTGTAATGGCATTGGTAACTGAAAACCTGCTTTTGTGTGATTCATGCTTAAACTGCTAAGTAGGCTACATAATGACTACTAAACGTTAAATATACAGAGAAAGAAAGAAAGAAAGAAAGATGGGACCTTTAGAGTAGTTTATTGACAAATTAGAATTGATCATAATTGACTATTTATTAGCCTACCAAACAATTTTGTAGTTTTTTTTTTTTAACTGTGGGTTAATCTATTAACAAAGCAAATACTAAATCCTTCCCTGGAAGTACGTATTAATCACTGGATTCATAACATTCTCATCACGATCTTGTCGCTCACAGAATAAAACTATACCTTCATAAGAATGTGACCCATGTGCAACTGCTGTTTCCTTTTTTGATGAAAATCAGTTGACATGTATTATGTGTGGCATAACTTCCTGCACACTACCAGAGGAATGGTACAAGCCAGAAGATGCTCTTCCTTCTGTGTATTAACTTGCCCATGAATGTCTCTTTGACCCCCAATCTGTCAGCCCAATGCTGCACATCTCTTTTAGCCAAACACAACTAGTAGAAGTTAAATCACAAAACCTGTAGATAGGTTATTTTATGTCCCAAAAGAGAAAGATATATGAAGATAAAGTGTATTCAGGCATGGCATTTTAGATGTAGGAACCAACCTGATCCTGAGGCTATAAAAACTAAAATACAAAGTGTCTCACGTGACAAATGAGGAAATTACAACTAATCTACAAACGAAGTAGATCCAATTAAGTGCTTTTAAGACATTTGCAGTGCCCTTGAAAACTGTATAACTGCTATCAATCCAGTTTCAAATGAATATTTAAAAATACAAGAAATATAAACCATTATGTTTACAAACACCTTTGAAGGTAACCGGTGAAAAACAGATATTAATAAATAAATCAGTTTAAAAATTAAACTCTTCACTCACCCATCTCCGACCACCACGCACTTTATTGCTTGCATTTTCCGATACTTTCCGAACTTTGCCGGCTGCCGCTATAAAACAACAGTTAAGGAACCAAGTTGTAATACAGGAAGCAGATTTGCTTCTTCAGTCTCTCCCTCTCTCTCTCACTCGCTCTCTCTCTCTCTCTCTCTCTAATCTGCGCAGTGCGCACTCGCTCATATGGCTGTGACAGTTTTGGACGTGTCTGTGTAGTGTCGAACTATATGAGGAAGTATTCAACTTTTAAGTGGAAGACACGAACGCGCTCTATATCAATGCGTTACATGCATTAGAGTCCACAAGAGGGCAATGTCGAATCATCAGTGAGAGTGCCCATTTAAAGTGCACTTAGTAACATGTCCCTCAAAGAAAAAAAAAGTTTTAGGACTAAAGAACTCAGTAATACTTACATATGCTATTGTCAAACTAATGTGCACTAACATGTAATGAAGTTTCCAGTCATATCAGTAACCTAATGTAAACCATATAACATATCCTACTCGTTTTTCATTTCTGTAATGGCATTGGTAACTGAAAACCTGCTTTTGTGTGATTCATGCTTAAACTGCTAAGTAGGTTACAGAATGACTACTAAACGTTAAATATACAGAGAAAGAAAGAAAGAAAGATGGGACCTTTAGAGTAGTTTATTGACAAATTAGAATTGATCATAATTGACTATTTATTAGCCTACCAAACAATTTTGTAGTTTTTTTTTTTTAACTGTGGGAGGAAGATTCTCATGTATTTGTCAGTGCATTCTCTGAATTGAAATGTGATAAAAATCGAATTGACATTTGTGAAAGAAAAGAAAATTGTGAAATGGAGAGGAAACGCTGAGGAAAGCAGTTCTCAGAGCTCAGCTGCCATTCATTGCCGTGACGTCACCCTCCTCGCGCAAGAGCACAGCGCTTCTTCATCAATTAAAGCGCAGTTCACGTTTACATTCGTACTGTACGACTCCGACTACCTGCTCACTGAGTTACACATATGAAGGTATGCGTTTCCACCACTTTCCATTGCTTTGAAAAAACTTTGCTTTGCCTGCATTTGTATCGTTTCTTATTGTAAGACAGAAGTTTTACATCCTTATGCCTCCATAACCTCTTATGTCTAGGTTGTTGCTGGGATTACTATTATTTTTTTTATCGTATTAAAAATTATTTAAATATATATGCCTATATATCTGTATGCTGAAAAACTGACATCATCAAGATATTATCATAATATTTTAGTCATTTTAATACAGTCTGTTATGTAATATAGTACTTCCAGTACTTCCAAATTTAACACTTTTCTTGGTATGCGCTGATCTGTGTTTGTGCACTGACTCTGAGGCTGATCTTCCTGTTTTAATGCAGTCTCCCTGCAGCACAACCAGCATGGGAACCCAAAGAAAGGACAGCTTCCTCTGGGGGAAAGGTATGTTCTTCCTTAATCATTTTCTTAATGTCTGAGACTGCTGTATAACTTCTGGCTCTGGGCTCAACTGTGAATAAGGGACTTTTAAGGCAAAACATCTTATTGCATCTGTAGTGGGACACCTGTGATATGACCTTCATCCAAACTTCCTCACTGGACTTTTTGTAAAAGCCTATGTGTGATATTAAAGCAACAGAAATTAGTTTTAAAAATAAAAATATAATGCAGCTTTTAAACTGTAAATGCAAACCAAGACTTAATGATAGTTTACAATAAAATCATATGCTATTCCATAGCACAATCACTGTGGGAAATTTATTATTAATATTTTGAGTGATTGCATCCAGAGAAGTTTCAGTGTTGTGTAAATGCAACCACCAATAGACCAAAATACATCCTATGTGGGGCAGTTCTCCAAAACTGAAGTAGCAGAGATATATTTAGCTGAGAAATTTGAGCTGTGTTTGCACTTTAGGTTATTCTCCTTCTCTATTTTGCAATTCCTTCTCTGCATGAGTGTGGGATCAGGGATCTGATGTGAGACTCTTGCTAACTGTTGATCTATTTGTGCTCCCATGTCATCTTCAGCACCTTTAGCTTTCAATTCAAATGACAAGAGGCAGACTGACGTCCATAAGCATGTGATTCTAGATGATATTCAGGTATATGGCTTTATAGTATAATTTTGCATATAGTACTGTATAGTAAAGGGTTTTAATCAAATAAATACCATTTTCTGCCAGAAAAATGTCTTGCAAAACTTTGTGAAGCACATGATGCAGTATTTGTAAACTATATGTCATCAAGTTAAAGACAAAGCTTTGGCTGATCAATTTCTTCACTCTTGCAGAAACTCAGGCTGGAGATCGAAAACATGATGACAGAAATTCAAACGATGGAGGCCGATGATGAGAAGTGAGTATTCACCGCTATAACGCAGCTCTGAGTTACCATAGCAACTAGAAAAAGAATCGATAAACCCAGCATTTGGACATTTCCTACATAATATTTTCGCTGTGTAGTTTCTTTCTGTATTGCACTGCTCTTTATGACAGCGTTCTCATTGTGGTCATTTTCATATCCACTTTCATAATGTTCACATATGTCACTTGGGTTTATACTATTTGATGTTTAGATTAAGGTTAGAATGTCTAATAAAATAAAATAACCTCTTTCTTATAGCAATCTGAATCCATGTTTATGAATATGTCTCCTAAAACTGAACTAGAGCCAAGCATGTAACAGTAGATTAGGGTTTCAAACTTAATGTACAGTCCATAGTCACTAGTCACGAAAAGGTGCTAATTTATTTGAGTATTTTATTTAACAATACATGCCATGTGTGTACATGCATAATACTTTCATGTGCATTAGAAGCTGCAGTATCTTCCTTGAATTGAATTCTGCCACAAATGCACGGTTCACATTTGCAGGTTCAGTTTTTTTGCACATCACGAAACACCATCTTTGAGCGTGGGCTTGTATCTGTTTCCTGTTTCTTGGTATCAATTTGACGAGAAGAGCTTTAGCTCTAGATGTGTCATTGCTAATTTTATATGTGGACATGCTAGCCACAGAAAATGATGAGATGAGGATATTTGCATCAGCCACTACGCACTCACATCATGATTTAGCTGAATCAACACTATATTGTCATGATATGCTGGAAATGTTTTCTGAAGCATTTCATTTTTGTCATAATGCCAATTTTCTAATTTTCCTCTAGTAAAAATGTTATGAAGAATAAGAGAATCCAGTGTGGAAAAAAGAAGTTTAACATGGACCCAAAAAAGGTATGAACCATGAATCATTTGAGTAGCATGCAGCGCAACAACGTAATGCACGTTGGGCAACAGCTTCACAACTATAAGGAGATTCAGCTAAACTAGGTTAGAGGAAGAGGGGGTGGAAAGAGACAGAGAAAGATAGAACCACATCCTGTGTTTTCTGTAGAACAAGTGAACTGAAGCTGCACTGCATTTTCCGAGTAGCTCGGTATAAATGGTCAGTAAAAACAAGAACTGCTTTACTAGTCCAGTTTTGATCATTTTTCACAAAAGCATCCCCCCAACTAATATGAAACCTGCATACAAAAGATAATGTTTGTGCATTTCACTGATAAACATTTAAACTGATGTAGCTGTTAGACCAACAGCAAATCATGTGTCATGATCTGTATCTTATATCCTGTTTCTTAATGAATGTTTGGTAACAGTGGTGCCAATGGTCTGTGGGAACTCCATTGAGGTTAATTGTGCGTGTTTATTTCCAGGGTATACAGTACCTAGTGGATAATGAGCTTTTGGAGTGGAAACCAGAGGCTGTGGCGGAGTTCCTCTATAAAGAGGAAGGCCTCAATAAAACGGCTATTGGCAACTTTTTAGGAGAAAGGTATGATGATGAGGATGAGGATGTTTTTGTGGCGCATACTGCTTGTGGCTTTGATATAGAAAAAAGTTGATTCCTTTTTGTATCCACAGGGAGGAGATCCACCTTCAGATCCTGCAGGCTTTTGTTCACCTTCACGAGTTCTCAAATCTTAATCTGGTTCAGGCTTTGAGGTGAGTAGAGATTCTCTTCTTCCTGTTTCATTCCCATATATCGTCCAATATACATATTCAGATAATAATCCATTTTGGGGGGATTGTTTGACTGGGACATAGGCAGTTCTTGTGGAGTTTCCGTCTACCTGGTGAGGCTCAGAAGATCGACCGCATGATGGAGGCCTTTGCTCTGCGGTACTGCACCTGTAACGCTGGGGTTTTTCAGTCCACAGGTAGATTGCCATTGTATTTGGAGGACAGGTTTTGTGTTTGACTGCCAAAGGAAAGAAAACATCTAAATTCAAGAGACATTTAGAAACCAAAATGGTTGTGATTCCCTGTACAGCCTATGTCTTGTTAATAATTGTTGGGCCTATATGCAATTCATGGTAATATTAATACATTTCAGTGTTTGACTTTAAAGGCATTAATATCTAGGTCCTGAAGTAAAACTACTTGAGAGCCACTGCTATAGATTACTTACATGTAGACATTTGAAAACGTGTGTATTTGTGTGTTGCAGACACCTGTTACATCCTTTCCTTCGCTATCATCATGCTCAACACAAGCTTGCACAACCCCAATGTGAAAGACAAGACCACACTAGAACGTTTCATCAGCATGAACAGAGGAATCAACCATGGAGAAGATCTTCCTGCTGAACTACTCGAGGTGAGAGACGTCATAGGGTCCAATTTTTCTACACAAGTTTACCAGACCAAACACTCACATCTCGAGTATATGTGATAATATGAAAGGGTTTTTTCATTCGTATACATTTAGGGCTGCACAATTAATCGAATTTCTAATCGCGATTCTGAGGCTTAATACTATAGAAAAGCACTAAAAGTTTTTTTCAGTTAGAGTGTTTTCAGCTTGTTTATTTTCATATAAATATACGGCATGCAGTTGCATCAAACAATGGTATAAACATCATTCAATGTAAATTGTGATAATCGCAATTACAATTTCAAGGGAATAATCGACAATTATGATTTTTGTCATAATCGTGCAGCCCTATATACATTATTGTTCAAAAGTTTGAGTTTGAATGCTTTTATTCAGCAAGGATGCAATAAATTGATCAAAATTGACAAAAAAGACATTTACAATGTGACAAAAGGTTTCGGTATTAAATAAAATGCTGTTCTTTTGAATGTTCTACTATCATGGTTTACATAAACATATTAAGCAGCACAACTTTTTTTGAAATCAATAATAATAAGAAATGTTACTTGAGCAGCAAATCAGCATATTAGAATGATTTATGAAGAATCATAAGACACTGAAGACTGGAGTAATGACTGCTTAAAATTCAGCTTTGTCATACAGGAATAAATTACATTTTGAACAGTCCTGAACATTTTAAATCACTTTCAGAACGATTTTTTCCAGTTGATGAACGATAAAAACATTGACAGCCAATTAGAATCAACCCTGTTATAATGAGCTTCAGAATTTAAAGCAGCAGAGTCATATTCTGAGTTGCATTATTTTTATTTATTTTGAGGAATACTGAATCTGTGTTTTTTTTTTCTGTGAGTGAGATGAGTTAATGCATATTCATATTTATTTTAGAACTTCAGTAACATCTTCTGATTTTTCCCAACATGGGGGACAGTCAATCAATAAATTGGAAAAAAAAGTAACTTGCGTTACTTATTTGAAAAAGTAACTCAGATAATCTCTTGTAAATTAAAAAGTAATGCGTTACTTTACTAGTTACTTGAAAAAAGTAATCTGATTACGTAACTCGCGTTACCCCCAACACTGGTTACCTTTATAGTTATCGTTATTTGTGTGAACGGACCAGTATGCATTTTACATCAGTTCTATTGCTATAATTTGATTGGTCCAAACAGTGAAACAGCCCAGTGCAGCTCAGTCAATCAGGTTAGAGGACCGGAACTAACTGTTATGTAGCTGTTCTTTTCTGTCATCTTTGTTTTTCTAAATGTTACTAACAATTCTGGTTAATCCATAGGTGGCAGAATAAAGACCTGGAAGCGGAGGTGGTTCATTTTGACTGACGGCTGTCTCTACTATTTCCAATATACCACTGTTAGTTCTCTACCTTTACAAAAATGTCAAGTTTGCTGAGACAAAACACATTAAAATCAGTTTAAAATTATTGTTTTTCCAACTGAGTATTAAAAGTGAAATCATTCAAAGGCAATCTTTCCCCTCTCTAGGACCAAGAACCAAAAGGAATCATCCCGCTAGAGAACTTAAGTATTAGAGAAGTGGAGGATGCACACAAACAGGTACTTTTCCCATATTTTTTCCATTCCACCTCATTTATTATCACTGATCCAAATAGATGTGTGTGTGTTTCTCTAGACTCTATTACACCTGCTGCTTTATGGTTCTCTTAGTCAGCGCTGAGTGATAACTGTACCTCTGCGAGCACAGTCTAGATTTGCTTTGATGAAACTCTGCTCAGATCCTGATTTCTGTTTTTCTTTCAAAGTCAGCATCTCGTACTACCGAGTGACATTTAAATGTTTGTGACCTGGTATTGTAACCATGGAATTTAACCTTTTGAAAATGACAGCATATGCATTTTGTCCTTTAAAATGTGTGCGTTCAGTTCTGTTTGGAGTTGTTCAGCCCTCATCGTAAAGGCGAGACGATAAAGGCATGTAAAACAGAAACAGATGGGAGAGTTGTGATGGGCAAACATCACTCCTACAGACTCAGTGCTGCTTCTGAAGAGGAGCGCGCTGACTGGATCCAGGCCATCAGGTACCAGACAGCACAGTATAATGGATTCATTCAGTTGAACAATTAAAAATAAACTTGATTTTGATATAATTTGCGATCTTTGAATGGCACACAACCCTAGTTTGAACGCCAAAAAAACATGACATCCAGTGTTTACAAATAAAAATCAAACCACATCTATATGAGGTTTGAAATCCAGATATTTTTGGAATACATTTGTCTAAATTATTTCAGGTAGGATTCCAAGTAATTTTTCTCGTCATTTGGGACGTCACTCATATTTACAGTAACATCATACAACGGGCGCTTTCTGAAATTGTCTCTTTTTTCTCATATAACACACTATGTGATATTCACTATGTAGTGAATGGTGAATAAGTGAACTAGTCAACTCTTTTAGACCTCATTGAAATGAGAAGAGGCAAAATTTCCAGTTTTTTCCAGTTTCAGTTTTCAGATAGTTCCTGTTTTTCCATTATGCTATTGCTTAAATTATTACAATAGCATTCTTCTTATTAAAAGTATTATTAAAAAATCGTATTATTAAAAGTTAATGAATTAAAAGCACTTTACACATAAATGATTTAATTAATGAAATAAATGAAATAATTGTTCTGTGCTTTTACCCAATTTTGGTGTCAAAAATGACAGGCCTTTTAAAAATTGCTTGTAAATCTCTCATTATGCTATATTATCACTGATTCTTGAATCAAATCTTTTTGATTTTTTTTTTCCCCCAGTTGGCACAGTTTCTTTCTTTCTTTTAGGGAGTGATTGTACACCTCATTGAACTGAAAAATTCTCAAAAATATATATATATATATATCCTGTGTGATCAAAGTCAGTAAGTTTTAGTCTAATTTCTGTCTAATTTAGTCTAACTTGTATTTTTTTAGGAATAAGAATACTCTCTGGGTCAAAATGACCAGAACACAACATAAGGATTAAAAAAAGAAAGAAAGAAAATATAAAGAAAGAAAAGAAGAAATAAAAATATAAGAGACAAATATGATGCAGACACTAAGATACTGATGGCAATATAACAAGACTTTTCATGAGTTCAGCAATGTGTTTTTGTAGGTCATGGGAAAGAGGAAGTCAAGTATGTTAGAAATGTGCACACACTTAGTCAAACAATAAAATAAATAAAAAATAATATATATAAATATATATATGTTAGTATTGACAGAGGAACTGAGAATAAAAAACTGGGCATCTGAGTCTAACCGTTTCCTCTCTTGTTCTTAGAGCTTGCATCACAAAAGACCCTTTCTATGACCTGGTATCTGCACGCAAGAAGAAGATCATCGGCCACGCTTAACAACATGACTGAAGCTGATTGATGAACTGAGGGGATCTGATCTTGCTAAACAGTTGCACACAGACTGAACAGTAGCCAAAGGGACGTTGATGGTTACAGTGGACTGAATGAGCTGGAAATGATGAATGAGGTTCTCAGGGTGCTAATTCTCAGCCCTTCCTCTCAGCACTCAGAGGTCACCGCTGCTGTGTGTGCAGCCTCAGGGTTCGCTTACACGGTGGTGTTGTGGTCAGGCGTTCTGTGAAAAAATATTTTCAATGAAAAACATTTAAATTAAGCTACATTTAATAGGGTATTTGTGTTTTGAAGCACTATTTTGCTATTTTTTTCTTTGTATCATTCCATTTGACTAGCATACATTTATCATTTTATAACTGTATGATTTAAAAAAATCTCTATCTTGTAAATATTGGTGTGCCAGTTAGCATTAACATTTATTAGGTTGAAGTTGTCCATATTCTGTACATAATAAATTACTTATTTAATGAATGTACCATTATTTGATTATAAGCTTTTGTCATTTCAGATAGTTCCTAAAACTTTTGAATACATCAAGACCATATTATTAAAATATAATGATTGTGCTGTGCACTAGGATTCTCTAATTAAAGGTCTTCACCGAACAAGCCTCGTTTTCACCAAGTAATGCACACATTTGTCCAGCAGAGGGCACCGTTGGTCAAGCTTCATAATCCCTGCAGCGTATGTATGTATGTATGTATGCAAGTGTACATACACTGCAGGGATTATGAAGATTGATTATAAAATCAATTATATAAGGCGAAATTGAGATATTTGGGACCTTTTCCCCAGTCACTTTAATGGCAGAAAGTGTCCCCAGTTTACCTGACTTAATATGCTGTATTTGGATGAGCTTTTCGAGCCTGAAACACGAGAGACTTTGAAATTATGCTCTAGTCTATTGAAAAAAAAAAGACATTTGAACTCTGAAGGACTGCACAGTTGCTTCCTTTGCTACATACTGCACTTGTGGTCTACAAAAGCACACCTTCTTCCTGTGTATCATTTCCTTTATCTCTGCCAATTCGCTCGCCATCTCTTCAACCCTTTCTGTCATTTCCCTTACAAGACTAAAAATTCACTCTTCTAGAATTTCAAAAGAACTGTACTTTACATCAAGTGCAAACTCTGCAGTTGTGCACTATTTGGTGATCAATGTAGACTGAAGAGTCTGGCTCAAGGTCATGTAGGTCACTGGTTTAATAACGTACATGCTTTAGCAACACATTGTAATACGCTTAACAAACAAGGGAAGTCAAATGTCACACCCATGTTAGCCAAAGAGAACTGTTGACGCATCTCTGACGATGTCAGCATGGTCAGGTACTGTGTATATCACCTTAGTTTTGGCTGTTTTATGTTGTCTTATATAGCTACAATTCAACACAATATTGCATTATCAATTACATCTGCAGAAAACAAACCATTGTATATACTGACAATTCAGCCTGTCCATGAATCACCTGAGAGGTGTTCAGATAATGTAGGTAGCGTTTTCAGTGGTCAGACCTGTCTTTTAAACTGAATAGGAAAAAAAAAATCCACAAACAGTAGGGTGAATTTAGGTAACCTGGGCTACTTTAGGTAGAATTTAGGTAACTTGGGCAACACTGAGATGACTGTCAAAAGGTGGCCCAATTTACCTGAATTATTTTTAATGAACTCTAAACTAACAATTCATGATTTTTCAAAGGACTCGAACCCAAAACATTGTGTTTGGGAGAAAAATACCAGCAGTATACCACAAATGTTCAGTACATTAACTAGCAGTTAGTTATATTTCATGTTCTAGTGGCCAAGTTGCTGCATTATTCAAAGAATGAGGTGATACTAGTTTTTCAATAGTTGTTATTTTCTAAGCGTACCAAACCCCGTAATGACGTTTGACCGCTCACATCTACAGTAATAATAAACCTGATAATTTGTGTAAAAGTAGCTGTTAGCCACTTCACAGCTGAATCTGATAAAACTCACATTTGGTAAATTAGGCTGGTTGTCTTTTCTTCCAGGCAGTTTTAAGCAGTGCAAGATCACATCTTCTGGAGTTAAATGAAAAGAAAAAAGCATCACCAATATATTTAAGGCCACCTCAATTTATTTATTGGCACTCTTGATCTAACATCTATTATTTCCCTAAGCCGTAAGTTCACACGAACACATTTTTTTTTGCCTTCCAATGTGCTGCGTTGTAATTGTTTTATGTTAACATGCAAAACAGATGTTTGCTTTTTATTATAAAAACCCTATCTCAAGACATTCTTAAACATTCCACTGTGTTGTTTTTGCATCTTTAAAATCAAGAATGTGTTCTGTGTGAAATCTTAAAGGAACAGTACAGACATTTATATTTATAAAATAATAAAAGTGTACAAATCATTCCATGCAAAACATAAAGCCATGAGTTTTACATTGCTGGACACCATTTGTTTTTTTTTAACAAATTGATATAATGAAGATGACATCACACTAACAAAATTTCAGCGAAATTTCGAGGGCAAAAAGGTTTATATATTTAGAAGTCACATTCAAACCAAGCAGTTCAAACACCAATGCAGCGATTTCACGTGACCAAATTAAATGTGCATGGGGAACCTTTTCACCCTCAAGCAAAACTCCCAATCTTACAGATTCCTATTGAAATGGCTGGATTTCACCAGCGAAATTTTGCAGGTGCAGTAAAAGTGACCGCACCTTTAATGGTTACTCATCAGACATGTTTTCATTTGTAATCTGTCAGCTTTGCTATGGAGCTTTTCCCACAGACTTGAGGATTGGGTACGTGCAACTGATTAGGACTGGATAAATATGCAGGGCAGAGATCTGCTGAACAGGAAATATGTGTAACATGCTACATTTTCAGACTCTTACATTTAAAGATCTCCGCAGTCCACCTATGAGCTCTGTAACTGACAGGAGGTCACATGATCACTGCATGCGCACTATAGTTCAGTCATTTTTTTTTCTGACACCAGCTCCTCACAGTGTCAGCAGCTTTTTGGAGGTTGTTCAAACAACCTCACTTCCCTTTAAAAACACAGCACCAAATACTTTTTTTTTTAATAATAAAAAAAACACTACACCAATATTTTTCAGCTGACAGCTGAATCAATATTATTGTAGGGAGAATCACTATCCACATCTTGTCCAAACTGAACATAATAAAGAAAATTTCCTTTTTTTTTTTTTTTTTTTTACAGTATATACTGTTAATATTCTTGTTGAAACCTGTCCTAGTATCCAAAGTCCTGATTTATAAGCACATGTTCTTGTTGATTCCTCTGGCAGAGACACCTCAGGACTGAATACAGGCCTTCTTCTGGTTACGCCTCCGCCCTCTCTGGCCTGAAAAGAAACAAAAGATGTAAAACAAGTCTGAAAAATCAAAATAGGGCTGTACGATTAATCTAAATAAAACTGATATGGCATAAATCATAAAGGCTGCAATTGAAATGATTCAATAGATGCAATGCATGTTTCAGAGTGAAGCGTGGCACTGCGTTCTTATACTTTTGCAGCATCTCAGTGTCGCTCCACTTGAGCACTTTAATGTTCATTTTGGAACACGACATGTGCCAATCATCTTCCCATACTTTCATGGAAAAACATTGGAAAATGAAGAAATGAAGATGGCCATAAACATTAGTATTGCAATTTTATAGTTTATAATTATATAGTTTATTCATAGTAATGTTTATTTATAGTAACATAATAAAATAAAATATTTTATATATTATTTCTCAAATAATTTTTCTCAAACAATACTACAAGAGTAATATTTATTTTGTTGTTTTTTATTTAGTAATAATAATAGATCAATAGCAATAAATGAATGTTATTGCTATTATTAAATAGCAATGTTGATATATTATCACACAGTTTGGGCCAAATTGTGTAGCCCTACAAACAAGCAAACCTAGAATTGCTATCACAGTTTTTATCCAAAAATCAACATTTGATTGTTTCTCCAAAATGTGCAGCCCTAAATTAAAACATTGCACTTCTTGAAAATGCTGTACATGAGTATAGTCAGGATACATACCATCCTCGCCATCTGTGGCAATAGTCTGAAGAGAAACACTCCTTGGACCCATTTTGTTCTTCTTGAGTTTAAACTTGACCTGTGGTGTGTTCTCTATGAACTCAAATGTGTCTTCAACTTCACCAGTGCTGTCAGTCTCTGAGATCTTGCGAGGAGCGGGAGTAACGTGTTTGGATGCATCTTCTTGCTCATTAATATGATTGGCCAACCAAGATGCTTCCTTGGAGTTGCTGGTAACCTTAGTGTCTGTATGACTGATCTGTTTTGCATCTGTGACGGGTTGTTTTGTGCTTTGATGGGTTGTTTTAGAGAGAGTGTCTGGACTCTGGTTGTTTGCTCTGCCTTTCAAGAAATGCCGGAAGGAAGAGCGCTGCTTTTTAGAACCAAACTGCGAAAGCTTCTTCCCATCGCCCTTAATATCCTCTGTCCCATCTGGGGATGTAGGGGACTGTGGACGTACACTATCTCCATTGGTGTAGATTAATTTTTCCATGTTATTCACAGAGGCATGGTCAACATAGTCTCTCAGCTTAGAAAGATCCTGCAGGGAGCCAGTCACACCTAGACTGTTTCCAACGACTAAAGAGTATTTAGGATTATGGTATTTATGTGCAGGCACCTTTAGGTCAGCCTGTCTGGAGTCCCCTACAGAGATCTGGAAGCGTGACGTGGATACAGGAACTGTGAGTTTGTTGGGTTCCGCTGGCGTTTTCAGCACAGGAACTGGCAGGGCCGGCTTACTGATGTGAAACTCCCGGTACAGGTCCACCTTATCAGACACAGCATACAGTTCTCTGAAGTCATTGTCGAAGAAGTCAACAACTTGTCCTGACATCACAGTGATTGTGTTGCGGTTCATCCTAGAGGAACTCCATGTAAAACTATAAAGATGGGAATAATACAGCAAATGTAATGATAAAAAGAGTGAACAAGCGTACCACAATGGTGGACAAAACTGCAAGACGTACTGTTTGGTCTGTATACGAACCTGTATGATCCAAACATCACTTTCTCGCCATCTACCAGCATGTACTTTGAACACAGTGATCCTGGCAGATGACCAAAGGACAGTGGCATGCCAGAGCCCCTCACGGTTCGCACACGCAGGTTCTGAAAGAGCAGAAAGAGAGAAAATATTGTTTAAAGCCGTGTGTACACTCCACAATTTTACTGTCCAAGACACATTTTGGGGACTGTAAATCTCATTGAACACCACCTAAAATACTGTTTTAGTCATTCTGAAATGCCTCAGCCTGTCATCAAAATGTTTTTGTATAATTACTAATGAACAGTCTCACACAATTGTGTTCAATAACATCAGGCATCTGAATGCAAGATAAGATTTAGAAGTAATTTATTATGTAGGAAAAAAGTTACAGGCTTCCCTGGTTGCAGTAACTTTAACTGTAATCAATGATACTTTGAGACAGCTTCTCAGAAACTGAACATTTTGGGTCCATATAGTAAAGTAATTACAATATGAAGAAACAAGAGGAGCATAGCAACTGATAACATTGGTGCATGTGAGAGAAAAATCTCTTATTATTTAGCTATCCATTTAAGTTATGATCACAGGTTTGCTCTAAAGAATAAAGAAAGATAGGTTTTATCCAGCCACAACTGACTCCAGAGTCCAGACTCACATGATTTTGTTAATGGAAAAATATTGCCAACATTAGCGCAAGGGTTTGCATTTCAATTATGCGTGTAAATGAGGATGTCAAAATAGACACAGACCGGTAAAAACACCCAGTCATTTGTGACCAAAGTCTTAGCTAAGATCTATATTATACTGTCTGACATACAGTAAAAGATGCACAATCTTGGGTTCACAAACTTTTATCCAAGATCTCATTGGATAACAAAAAGGTCGTTAACAGTCATTTAAGGTCCATTTACACTAAAGATTACTATATCTTTAACTAAAGGTTTTAATAATTGTTCTAGTGTCCATATGTCCATAAGACAGCAGGAGAAAGATATTGTTGGAGTCACATTCAGAATATTTTTTTCCCCCCCAGTTGATGAACAATAAAACATTGACAGCCAGTCAGAATCCACCTGACTTTAAAGAGCTTGCGCATTAAAAGCAGCAGAAAACAAAACTGCCGTGCTTATAATAAATGTAACGTTCGGTAACACTTTATTTTAAGGTGTCTGTGTTACACATGCTACATGTACTTACTATTATAATAACAATTAATTATGCATAATCACATGCATGTAACCCTAAGCCAAACCCTAATCCTAAACCCTAACCATATAATAAATAACATGTAGTTAAGTAATATTACTCAGTACTTATATGTATAATTGCACTGTAACAAGGACACTTTAAAATAAAGTGTAACCTAACATTCTCGTCTGTTGGTAACCTAACGTTCTCGTCAATCTTTATAGCTATTGTTCTTGGTGTGAACAAACTCTTGGTATAAAGTGGGAAATCTGGATTTTACAAAAGGAATAAGGTGTCAGAGCAACACACCTGGCATAGGCAAATATCCAAGGTGAAGTCGGTAGTGACACAGACACACAGAGGTGTAGCGATTTCATTTGCACACTGAGGACTCAAAAGAAAGGAGTACTGTAGCGACAAAAGGACTTTGAGTACAAGGCTGGCATGGATGAGGAAAAAGCAGAAGCGTGTGAGAGATGAGAGCGCTCCACAACTCTCCTAAACGAGATCAAGTTGCCTTTTTTCGTAGTTCTGTTGAAATCTGCAGATCCTCTTTCAGGAAATAACAATGCTGAATTATCCAACTCTATTGCTCAGTGTAAATTGTCAGATGAAAAGCCCTAGTGTCCTATATAAAACAATCCACATAGATAAGGCTTGTTGGCAGTGTATCTTAAGGAGATCGGCAGTATTTGGGGCAGTCTTGCGGAAAGTGCTGGGTTTCATTCGACAGCGCTGTTATGTGTGTGCACAGCGGACCAGGAAGTCAGTTGAACCCTGTGGCAACAGCTCCAGAATCATCCTGCGTTTCAAGTTGACACAGATCCCTTAAAGGTCAGCTGACAATCTGTTAACATGTGCGTTTGGGTGAGATATGGTAAGTCACGTGTTCATGTTTGACGACTTTTCCAGCAAAGCCTGATAAGGCACGTCTGACTATTGCTAACATTCACACATTATGATGTTTTGATAACACGTGTCTTCACTTTAACTAGCATTGTGTGATCAAATAAAAGGGCAACAGGGATCATGTTGGTTTACTAATGGCTAATGTTAAGAAATAAAAATTGAATGGGGTTGAAGAACAGACACTGATTTTTACTTTCCCAACAAGGTAAAAGTTAAAGGTTCACATAGTGTTGTTAAGATTACAATTGTTTATCTTTAAACTCCATGGACTTAACAGTCAAGTTTACCAGAATTTCCTGGCAATATTTTTTTTATTATAAAAATAATAATAATAAAATTAATTGTACCTATAAAATGTGTTAAATAAAAAAAAATATATAAAATAATAATAATAAAATTAATTGTATATATAAAATGTGTTAAATAAAAAAATATATATAATATAATAAAATAAAACATATATATATATATATATATATATATATATATATATAGAATCTATTTGATTATTTTGTAATTTGGTGTAAAATATGATCCTGACATTGTTGTCAGATTCAGTGATATATTATCTATATCGCTGAAATTCAATTTCAGTTTAAATTAATCACAATGGAAAATGAAGTCTATGTTACCAAAATATTTTGTATTGTGACATTATGTAAGGGCAACTGAACATCCTTGATCTCCAATTTGCATTGCCACAATGCATCCTGATGTTTTACTTTTACTTTTACCATTATTTTCATTGAGGATTCTTTTTGCTAAGATACATTTTAAGTATTTTTTGTATTAAAATCATAAATTAAAATCAGTACAACAAATACTACCATGATGCATAAATATTTCACAGTTTTTTAAAATGTATTTTATTATGGTAATGCGATTTATTTTTCATTATGGAAGTAAGAATAGAAGACATTTTTTATAATTTTATTAATAATTTGTGCTTAACTATAAAAAATAATGCCACAAAATAATTGCCCTAAAATTGGTTTCATTTTTGTTTTATGCAAAACACAATTCCTTCAATTGTATCAGCCAATTGTTATCACTCACCCTCAGGTGCTGCGCAGAAATCTGCAGCCTGCTGCTCATGTCCAGGAAGTGCGGCAAGCCGTTCTCCTCCAGCAGCAAGTACACAGCCACCCCCCTCTTACTCGCAGCATCTAACAGATCCTGCAGAATCAGCAGGTCCGTCAACAGGTCCATGACCACTGCAACCAACTGAAAACCAAGTGAAACCAAACAGTGGTTAGAGCTTAGTTTATTCACTTAGCTTATCATTACATCTGCTTTGACTCTTTTTGCAGTGCAGTTTGTCTCAGTTTGAGTGAACACGTGAGATCTCATACAGTTGGAGGGAGATCGCAGAGCAGACACTCCAGCAGACACATTAGCAATGAAAAAGTTCAAACTCAACATGAGTCACAAGCTATTTATGAAACCAAGCAGTCAATCTGGGTCAAAGGGCACATATGTGTTATAGACCACACACCACAGCGTTTTAACAAATAAAATGCAAACTAGGTCAGCATAAAACTCATCATGACTTGGAAAAACAAGTTTAAATTTATTGAGTCAATTCAAAGCCAATTTAAAGCTCTAAAGGTTTTAAGGTTAGGCTTCAATCCCTTCTTCATCCTCACTGACTCGCACCTCAGAGCTATATAAATAAGAATGAAGCAATTTGCATTAAAGAGAAAACACGGATAACAGCTGAACAGGAGTGTCGGTTGAATCACTTTTGATGACACAGATTCTGTTCTTCTGCTAAAGCCAAAAATATATTATATTGATCATAAACTATTCTTCAGACAAGGAACTAATAACAATTTTAAGCTTCTTGCGCAAATTACAGTACAAGGAAATGTTATTTCTAACATTTTCAGACAAGCATGTTTCTATCAGTTCCTCAAGAGGAGGCACCGTCTGCTTCACATGACATCAAAGATATGTATGAGCGTCAGGATCCACCTGAATAATATGTTAATACAATGTCCTGTGGACATAGTCTAAGGCTAACATTGACACCTGATTTCCTGAAACTAAAATGAAACGCTCGTCAGCAATCGGCTCTGAACTTTTTAAAACACATCTAAATATCACCCAACTAAATATTACTGGACAGTAACTCAATAAATGTACCCAGAATGTGAACAGTATAAAATAAGAGTCTGCTGTTCTTCTAATAGATGAATAGTAAAGTCACAATTTAGCACAGTTTAGTTAGAAAAAAAAACTGTCTGAGTTGCTGTATAAAAGTAAATATACAGAAGAGTAACTACAAAACGAAACAAAACAAGGGCAGCACCTGTCAGAACGTCATTAACTCAGTTTGACAAGTGCATTTGAATAAGTTTCATCGCAACCCACCAACAAATAAGTCTTATGGGTGTACTTATGGCGCAAAGAGATGTGACGACCAGAACACACAAGTAAAATGTTTGTGTATCTACAATAAAATTAACCAGCTATATTTCATCCTGTATTAATTTTACTGCTACAAACAGAGATGGCTCATTAAAATCAGGTCCAAAGATTGTAATGATCTAAGTATTATCTCATTGAGTTACTATTATAATAACAATTAATTATGCATAATCACATGCATGTAACCCTAAGCCAAACCCTAATCCTAAACCCTAACCATATAATAAATAACATGTAGTTAAGTAATATTACTCAGTACTTATATGGGATGGGATGTATGACAGATTTACAAGACATTTGCGAGGAAACATATAACTAAATTAGGAGTTGCAATGAAATGTAGTAGCTCTTGAGTTAAAATTTTTCATGAATGTTTATTACAGCTTGTGTATTAATTGAGGATTAGAGTACAGTACATGGAGGTGGACTGAAGGCAGCTGAAATGCTTTGTACCTGAAGTGTGTCATTATAACTTACCACTTGTGTGTGTAAATGACTTGAGGCCTCTGGCAGTGTGATTGACACGGCACTTACAGACAAAACCCAAGGCTATACGAGGGTGATTTCCTGACTGATTATTACTTCACTCTCTTCACTGAAACTCATTCACAATGACATCATACTGCGCAAAAGGTTAGAGAGATTTCTATACATACTACCTGATCTAACCAATGGCAAGATACCTCTGTTCTGTGGTTTTTTGGGGAAACTGGTCTTTCTGAGAACATATTTTCTTTTTACTAGTTATTTATGTATTATTCTAAAAAACAATTCCATCATTAGATTTAATAATTACTTCACATCAACATTTGTTTGCATACAATTAAATGAATGTAGCAGTTCAGAATGTATTTGCTAATGATCAGTTTTGTAATGTATATGTACTGTATACTATTTTAGATTTGAATTAAAAGTTAATTATTCACTTTTTGCAGTGTTCGTATTTATTTATTTACTTTTTTATTATTTTCATTTAAAGTTAAAATGAATGTTTCTGTTTCATATTGATTCGTATGACTAAAGACCAATGTTTAGTCAGGGTGATTTCCAAATAAGATCTCGGGAGCTATTTCACAAATAAACAGCACTCCACCAAAATACCCACAGCCCCAGGGATCAGGCCTCGGCAGTTTCTGAAGAAACGTGTCTTCTTCAGCAAACAAAATCTGCTGAACTTAATTCTTAATATTTGTACTTAACTTTATTCGATTATTCCTTCTTCCATATTCCCACAACTTTATGGTAGGTTTTAAAACAGTCAGGTCAGAGTTAAATGTTAATTATTTTATTAAATGATGATCTTATGCTCAGAGGAAGGAACACGACCACATGACTGACAATTAACTTCAAAATATGTCATAAACCTACAGTAAAGCTGGTTTTGGCCACATGCTTCATCATCATGTGAATCATACAACTGAAACTAATACATCTATAAAACATCTTAAATATTACTTAGGGTAAGTCAGGACACATTACTTATTTCCTTAAAACGAACTATATATTTCTGTTACTACTTCTGATACTGAGACTAGTATCTATTTCAATACACATACATTTTTATTAGATACACATATGAGACACAGACTTATAGCATTTATCCCAGCAGTAACATTTCATATTTCACTAGTTACTTCACTGATGTTTCTGTCTGATTAATGACTGGTTGTACATTTTAGAAGAAACAATGGGAATACACAACAGTGGTCTAATAAAAACGTACTATTGTCTATTCAACTACTAGGAAAACTAGATAATTAAAATCTCCTGGAAATGGACTAGTAACTAACTACAGACACTATTGGAAAAGAGTTGAACTGGATGATGACATCACTGAATCATCAATGAACTGACCTTAACTGAAAAATGGACTGTTATTGTCCTCTTGCATTATTGACAACCTATTTTCCTGTCTGACACTGTAAAGCTGCTTTGACACAATCTGTATTGTATAAAGCACTATATAAATAAAGGTGACTTGACTAGTAATACCTCAATAATAGTTACTAGTATAACTTGAATAGCTACCACACACAAGTTAGAAATATTGTAATTTGTTTGACCTGTGCAAAACATTACAAATAGTAACCAGTAACAATGGGATAGTTACTTGTTGGGATACTACTGCACTAGTATATAATGCATAGGTATAATGACTAACTGAACAGATATAGGTCACTAAGTAGCCTACTAATGACTAATGAATAGTTATTAGTGGAATTTTCATTAATCACCTAATTATTATTGGAATACTTAGTTCTACTAGTAATAAAAAAAAAATAAAAAAAAAGAACTAGCAACAAAAATAGATACTATTTCGCAGTAGGAATAAGTGGTAGACGGCTGGTCGCTTACCTTTGTGGATTCTTGAATGAGTCTGCGGACCACCTCTTTAATATGCGGACTGTTAGTTTTGGATGGGTGGGTGTAAACCGACACCCGAGTTACCCCTTTGTAATGGCCGTTGCTAGGCCAACCGATGTCTAGCGGAGGGATCTCCGTGTCAGACATGGTCGGCCAGTAGGTTGAGTGGACACCTGAGTCTTCACTCGTATCATGGGGCGATCGTGAGCAGCAGGTGTCCGAGTCACTGTCATATTCCTGGAAGGTGTCCCGCATCCATTTGATTTCCCTTGCAGAGAGAAAGTCTTTAATATTATCCTCTTTGAGGCGCATCTTGAACGCGCCATCCCCGTTCTTCAAGAGCTGCTCGAGCGCGGCCCGCTGCTCCTCGCTGTAGTAAAACTCCGGCTTGGACTCCGGTATTTTCACGTTAACATATTCATCGTCCATGCATACTAGCTGAGACTCAGCCATGGCAGCTGTGCTCCCGGAAACAACGGTTCACCTGCGTGACTCCAGGCAGAACGCTCAGCACACCTTTACCTGTTTGAGTGGTTGGTTGAGGTGTTTCTGAGCGAGATTGAAGAGAATGGTTGGGCGGAGCTTCGGTAGAGCGGTAGGCGGGGATTCAGCGCTCTGTACCGGAGTCTGTACGACGGTTCTTGTGACACTTGTTTAACTTAAAATAAACACGGATGAAACCGTCATGGTAGTTTCCTTGACTGACGCCAACTTTTTGTTTATTTACCAAAATAGTAAATAAAGGAATACAACTACCACCAAGAAAACAAACAAACAAATACTAATAATAAAATAAATACAAATTAATGTTTACTTTTTTATTTATGTCCTGTTATAGTTTACATGTAACTTTATTTCCTCCGTGTTACACGGAAAATACAAATTAAGTCCTTCAGGTTTGAAACAACATGACGGTGATTAAATGATGACAGGTTGAACAATTCCTTTGAAAATATCACTTGACACAGAACGATTTATTCAAGTCCTTTACCACTGTTATTACCATATTTGCCATCCGTATTTTTCATCTTGTATAACAAAACAATAATCATACCTCTTCTGCCTGTGCCATGGGTCTATTTTGACAACTGACATTAGTTAAAAACGTCTCTTTTTAATACAAAAATTGGTACAGTAACATAAAATCTTTGCTTACTGTAACACTGTATCTTGTCTTAGTGTGTCCTACTGAAGATCTTAAAATATAAACATGAACTGAAGGGTCACTGTATGGGCTATGTACTGTATAATTCAGCAGTTCATATAAGAGAAATGTCTAGTCATTATGAGAATTTGACACATAAGGGAAATGGTATAGTTCATTCTTCGTACCATATTTGTGAAATAATAAAAAAAAATGGTTATGTATATGAAAAAGAGAAGCAACAAAGAGCTTCATGAGTCTTTTTCTCACTTCTCCTCAACAGTTCTGCAGCCAGTTTTATAAAAAGTAATTTGAAAATAATCGACCAGTCCATACATTATTGACAGGCATTTGGTAAGAGAATGATAGATTTGACTCTTAGTATAGTGATTCCACACCTCTGAGCAATCAGAAGACTTTAGATCTGTTCTGTGTAATTGGCAGGGAAAAGACCAGTCCTGCCGCGCAATCGACCTTTCCACCATGACGCATCAGAGCGGTCCAGTACGTCAATGATGTCACCGGAACTGAAGCCCAACTCGTCATCTTCCTCTGCTGTGAAGTCATACATTGCCATCACCTGTATGGTTGACCTCTAAAACACACACACACACACACACACCCAATAAATGGTCAGTATAATAAAAGGTACTAATATCCTTCTGAATTTTGTTCCTTAATGTTCCTAAATGGTTGGTTCCTATATATATATATTTTTAATACTGAGGACATGAAAGTAAAATCTGTATTTTACTGATTTTACTAATGTATATGGATAGACTACCAATAAATATTAGTAAACAAATAACCATGTATAGCCATTTAAAGGTGCAGTGTGTAATTTCTGTGCATCATAAAAAGGAATTGCAAAAAAAAAAAAAAAAAGTTTACAAACAAGTTTCTTGAACACCCTCACATTCTATTGGCTGAACAAACAGATAGTTCAGCCCCCATACTCATGCCATTGGTTAGTTGTCTCAGCATATAAATGGTGTGTTCAAGTCCTCTTGGGAAGTTCATATTTATGAGTTGGCAAGTCGTAATTGTGATGTCAGGTGCATTCAAGTCACTTTGGTCGGAGCAAGATGGCGATGTACCTTTTCTACATAAAATTTAACAAGATTTTTTTAAACTCTACATCTACAAAACAATGAATAAAGAATGGGCTTCAGTGTGTTTTTGCTGTTTTCTGTTTTTATTCATTTTATGAAGTTGCTTTAAACTGAATCTTTATATATTCTATTGTAATTGTACAATACTATTGTATTTTGTAGATGCAACTTAGATTCAGAAAATTCAGTTTCCCATTCGTAATTACGACTTTGTGGTGGCACTCATGTGTGATCAACTTGTAAATATGATCTTTCCCGACTTGACTTGAATGCACCATAACATAGGATAGTAAAGTATTTTAACCTCGCAAAATATTACACACATCACCTTTAAAAAAAAAAAGAAAGAAGAAGTTCACACAAGACTTAAATACAGTCTTGTGTGATGACACTCTTGACAGCTCATGAGACAGTTTCTGAAAATTTCTGGTGTCATACCGGAGCAGGCAAAGTTTCAGAGGTTCGCCAAGGGGCTGGGCTGTTCCTCCCTTGGTGTCCCACAGTGTTAGCTTTATCCTCAACACTTCCTCTCTTACTCTGAGAAAAGAGCAGTTATATATATCAATATACTATATATATATATTATTAGAAAATTAAATGCAATACATATTTTATATTATATTTTACAGAATATTTTATATTTAAAATAATTAGTTTTTGATAATGTAATAATCAGTTTTTGCAAGACTGTAGGAACAGTTGGTTAGTTGAATGGAATAGAGGCTAATGTACTTCAATATGAATGACAGCTTTTCAATAATTCAGCAAGGTTTTTCAGTTTTAAATGCATGCACAGATGGGCTTGAATATGACTGTTGACATGCTCGTACCTTCTGGTTGTGACTCTGATCTGTTGTGTTGCGGTGTTGTGATGAGGTTGGGGGACTGCCATAACCACCACCTGGGGAAGGTCGAACGTCGGGTTGACTCCTTAACTGAAAATGAGGACCATTTATTGATTTTATTAATATTATTAATCTCCTGTACACATACTCTCAGCGTCATCCACATTTAAAAGCCATGTTTGACAGAATCGGCTCATAGTGCATTGAAAAAAATCTTAAATTTGAAATTAAAATTTTCACCACAGAGCCTTACTTTTTGATTTTCTTACATCAGCTGTCTCTTGAAAACAAGAGAAATCAGCAGATAAATGAGTTCAGAGACAGCAAAAATAAAGTTTAATGATTAGGTGCGTCTTCATGGAGTTCTGTTATGAGATTAAGTATAAACAGTAACCTAGAAGATTAAGAGCAAACTGTATTTATGGATTTAAATCTAGAGATTATTTACAGGTGGAGGTGCTCGTGGCTCATTTCCACTTCCGTCACTAAGGAAGATCTCCCTCTGCTTGGATATGGAGGTGGTCTTGTAGAACTCTACAAGCTTGTTTAGAGAGGTAAACTTGTCCGTCCACAAGTAGTACTGGCCCGATTTATCCTTCATAACTTTAAAATGCTGTACATCATACTCGTGTCTGTGAGCAGTGAAAAAAAACAAAACATAGTGAGATATAAATAAATGAACATTAGAAAAACAAAACCTAACTGTTCACACTTATTTCTATGGCAGGCTGATATATAAAAAATAATCTCACTTATAAAAAGCTATGCAGTCATTTAGCAGAAGCTTCTAACTTATTCAAGTTTGATTACCAGCCTCAGGACATATTAATGTCCAGCAATGTTTAATGAACTGCCACTAACAAAAGCTTGCACAACCCACTTTCTGCACTAGAGGGAACCCTCGCTCATTTTCTCTCTCTCTCAGTCTTACACAGTGCATTCAGTTTGGACCTACTGTATAGGTGATTTATGAGAGGATGGCTGAACCAAATGGACTGTCTGACTGCTGTAATAAGATGGATGTTATTGATGCATTATTGATGGAGTGTTTCCATAGGCCAGATTCAGTGTGTGTGTGGGCCGAGATGGCTCAGGTGTGAGGCTCTAGTCTATGAGGATCTTTCAGCTTCATGGCTTAAAAAGACTGACATGACAATTTGTGGGATTACAGATTCACTGCATTTTAAGGGTGGCCTTCATGGGCCAGCTGAAATACTAACACTAGCCTAACAAGACTGTGAACCTTAACACATTTTGTGTTTTTATATTTTTTTTCCTGCAGAACACAAAATAAGATATTTTGTAGAGTATAGATAACCAAACATGCAGCTTCATGGCTTAAAAAGACTGACATGACAATTTGTGGGATTACAGATTCACTGCATTTTAAGGGTGGCCTTCATGGGCCAGCTGAAATACTAACACTAGCCTAACAAGACTGTGAACCTTAACACATTTTGTGTTTTTATTTTTTTTCCTGCAGAACACAAAATAAGATATTTTGTAGAGTATAGATAACCAAACATTTTTGGTTACCATTGACTTCTATTATATTGACAAACAATGCCAAATACAGAATTTTAAATTCTGGGTGAACTATGCCTTTAAGCAATCACACAGGCAAAATAAAAATCTGCAATCCTAATATAAATCCACTAAATCCATTCTCTCCTCATTTTTGTTACCTGACTGAGATGGAGAAGTCTCCAGGGGAACTCTGGCTGCCACGGATCAGGAAAGCACCCACCTCTCGGGACATGAGAATCTCCTCAGCCGAGCCACGCCTGGCGTTCTCTTTGTACCAGCTGTAGAAAATTTGGAATCCAAATACACTTGTGTGCTTATTAGGTCTTTTACTCTCTCTCTTGCTCTGTCTTTATCTATTTACAATAGCCCACAATATTAACTACTACATGCTTACAGGTTTTTTGCATGTGGTAAAAAACAAACAAACATAAATATCACAAGCATGAGCTCACCTCAGCGTTTGCATGTCAACATAGTTTTTAGGTATGAAGCCCTCATGACCATGTAGCTCTGCTTTGAACCATTCGTCTTGAGATCCCAGGATCTGTTTAGAGCAATATTTCTTAAAAGTAATATAAGCCAATTTCTTAAAGGGTTAGTTCACCCAAAAATGAAAATTAGCCCATAAATTACTCACCCTCAAGTCATCCTAGGTGTATATGACTTCCTTCTTTCAGATGAATCCAATCGGAGTTATATTAAAAATTGTCTTTGATCTTTCAAGCTGTTTAATGCCACTCAGCGGGTGTTGCATGCATCCGTCCAAAACAAGTTACAGAAGGCCTTTGTTCACTCCCCGGAGCCGTGTGAGACACTTTTTTTTTTATGGATGGGCGCATTTTAATTAAGTGCTTTTGGACTGATGCATGCAACACCCGCTGAGTGGCATTAAACAGCTTGAAAGATCAAAGACAATTTTTTATATAACTCTGACTGGATTCGTCTAAAAGAAGAAAGTCATACACCTAGGATGACTTGAGGGTGAGTAATTTATGGGCTAATTTTCATTTTTGGGTGAACTAACCCTTTAAGCCCTCAAAAAAAGGTAAATCATAATTATGAGATTAAAAGTCATAATTGTGACATGAAAAGTTTAAATTATGATACAAGTAAAAATGATTAGATAAAACTTAAATGACTTAAAAAGCTGAAATTATGAGATGAGATAAAAAGTCATAATTATATATAAAAAAAAAATTATACAATTGTGAGTATGAGTATGTATAACATATAATACAATATTCAAGGATTAACACATTAAAGGTTCTATCACAATACATTATCTTTGCCCAATGCACTGGCACTAGCTATAGCGTAACTGTTGTAGTCAGGCGTGGTAGAGCAGCACTCAAAAGATTGTTTCAATTTTCACCCCCCTGCTTGATAGCTTTGCACCTACATTTGTGTTTAAAAACCTCTTAAACTTTACAAAGACATATTGAATGCCTCATTTTCTTATCAGTCATGGAGCATCCCAAGAATTTTATAAACCCATAATCAGCAAGTAATGTTTTTCTTTCTGCGATGTTTCCAAGAAATATAGCTAGACTTGTCTTATAAGCGCAAATACTTGTTTTTACTGTTTCCTCTCTACACTTTCCATTTTTTTGCAAGCATCTGTAACGCTTTTCATGTGGTGGTCAATGCAAAAGTAAGTTCCCTTTCATGGGAACTTCGAACTGCGTCCTCTAGGGGTCGCTATGGGGAACGCCTCGTTGTGACCCGTGTCTGAAGCATACATTGAAAAACACCAACTCGTTGGCCGGCGACAGCCATGACAGCCTATTTATACTATAGTCGCACCGGTAGTGACGTCATGGCTGTCGCCGGCCAACGAGTTGGTGTTTTTCAATGTATGCTTCAGACACGGGTCACAACGAGGCGTTCCCCATAGCGACCCCTAGAGGACGCAGTGTCTCGTTCCCTACTCAGGGAACCATGGTCACATAAGTAACCTGAGACGTGATTGTGCATTCGAGTACTCTATCACTCACCTTCAGAATGTCTCCTTTCCGGAAGCTGAGCTCATCTTCTGCTTTGCCATTGAAGTCATACTTTCCTCTGGCCTCCATGGTGAAATACTGAAAGGTTGAACGAAGGGGAGGGTCAAGCTGCCATAAATGGGAAGAGATATAAAAAGGTTCCATGTTTGAGAAACCAGGGTGATAAAATGAAGAAAATAAAGAGTAAACGTGTTAAACTTAGGCTTGTGAGAGACCAGAGAGGTCAAACACCTGCTGATGTTCTAGCTAAGCAAAAGCGAGCGGCTGTGGTTAGCTGGCTAGTGACAACAATTGTATGCATTACAAAAGTGTGCTTTTACTAAAGATGGTTCAAAATAAAGCTACTCAGTACTTTTCCTTTTTCAAGTTTTGACCACTCACAAAAAAAGGTTTTAATAGGGGAAAAATATATAGAAATAAATGAAGCAGGCCAATTAATGTATTATTAACCCATAATTGTGAAAGAAGAGGTCACATCTTACTATAATACACTGTCTATAATCTGAGGATGTTGAGACACTTGTTTAACTCGTTTCAAGAGTCCATTACACCTCCACCTAAAGAAAACACAGAAACAGGCAAACATTAACAAACTAAAATGAATGGAAGACCATATGTAGTCCACATGAATGTGCCCTATTGTATATTCCAGGTCTTCTGAAGTCGGACGATACCTTTTGAGTGGGAAACAGTCATTATTTGCTGATTTTTATTTAAGCTTTTTAATCTTTTCTTGGCGAGAACTAACTCTTTAAGTCTTTCCATCATAAACACAAAACTCCCCCCTTTATCTTTGCATGGGAGTTATTCTTTAAGATAATGTTTTTAACCAAGTTGGTTGATGATCATTTTAACCAGATTGGTTGAGAAGTTTAAAGGTCCTCTCTGTTCTCCTCTGAATTGGGCTTTTCAGAGTGAAGAGGAAAAGAAGGGATGCTGGTAATCAGGATCATTTCCATTAGGATCAGGAGGAAGGAGAGCTGGACAAACAGCAGAGGAGGAAATGCAGATTAAATTATATTTAATTACTACAGTATGATGCATGGCCTTGCCCATCCTCCATTTGAGATGGTGACTGTACAAGAGAAAACACATGGGTAAACAAGAAATGTGGCTTTGGCTCCCTATAAGAGGAACTTTGCAGAAGTAAACCCTTCATCAACTTTTAACCCTTAGTTGAACACAGGTTCATAGGTAATGTTTAAAGGGGTCATATGATGCTTTTTTAAAGATCATAGATATGTGGGGGCGTGTTAGAATGAGCCGTTTTAGGGGGGCGTGGCAGAGTCTTAAATTTGATAAAGAATATCTCTTTGGTTTTGAGACTTTAGTCTTTGCAACTTCAGGGATCTTATATATGCACAATCAGCTTGTAACACTCCAAAGAGAAAGGAAAACTTGAAATCGCATCATATGACCCCTTTAAAGTTTCCTATCTTATACACTTACTTATCGTTATTCACCAATAATGATCTAATCTGCTGCTGTGGACTATTGTTCTAGTACTTTTATGGACTTTTTTTTTTCCATTTTTGAAAGTCGACAACCCCGTCATCATCCATCATCCATGTGTGAATAGTCCGAATAGTCTGACTTTTCTTTTAAATGGTTTACTAAACTGTTATTTTTGGTGAACTATCCCCTTAAATTTCACTATATATATAGAAGTGAGATTATTTTTTATATATCAGCCTGCCATAGGACACTGAAATAATATATACAGTGGTGTGAAAAAGTGTTGGCCCCCTTCTTATTAGGTTTAGGGGGCAAACACTTTTTCACACAGGGCCATGTAGTTTTGGATTTTGTTTTCCCTTAATAATAAAAACCTTCATTTAAAAACTGCATGTTGTGTTTACTTGTGTTATCTTTGACTAATATTTAAATTTGTTTGATGATCTGAAACATTAAAGTGTGACAAACATGCAAAAAAAATAAGAAATCAGGAAGGGGGCCAACACTTTTTCACACCACTGTATATGAATACCCTAATGTACAAAATCTGAACGGTACTTTATTTGTACCTTATTTACCCCTAAATGGTACATATTAGTACTTTAAATGTACATATTAGTACTTAATTAGTAACAGGTGACAGTAGTTCAACTTCATTGCATTTTATTTTTCAATATCATTTTATCTCTTTCATAAAAAGACATCTTTGCTAAATGTTTTCATTCAGTACATCAGGCTCAGGCTCTTTCATCACAAAAGTCTATGGACAATTTGATTCCTCATAATATGTATACACTGTAAAAAATAAGTGTAATTTTAACTGTACAATTTTGTAAAAACGCTACGGAAAAAACTGTTAATAGGTTAACAGTAAGTTCCCGTACTATATACAGGGAACAAGGACGTAAATGTGTTTACAGTTTTTCTGTATTTTTTACAAAATTATTTTGTAAAAACTACATAATTTTTTTTACAGTGTAGGTTATTTTCTAACAGAACTGCTAATGATAATGATCTGCAGCTAGCATTGTTCAGCATCTCCCTCTTTCTTTCCTGTACATACAGGCATATGTGCATCTCATCATGCCTCTTGGACTATATATATATATATATATATATATATATATATAAACTCTTTGAAATTTGAACACAATGTAACAAAAAAAGTTTCACTTACATTTTTTATGGTTCTTCTGTAATTATGTGGTGTTAATTATTAGTGTACTATTTATTTGCACGTAGCATCAATATTTTGGGAAACATTTAGGTCAGATAAATTTTAGAGTTTCTATCATTAATTGTGAAACACTGGCTTAGTATCGGTATGTTTTTTGTACTAATTTTGCATGCTTTTTTGCTTTTGCAAGGATGGGAACATTCTAGAGGTTTCTGTAACATTCTGTAATATTCTAGTGCTTTCTGGAACATTCCAGAACATTGTGGGACTAGTCATAAAAGACAAAAATCATCAAACGCACACTTCTGAATTTCGGACGACTCACTTTTGGTAACTGTTTATGTTAAACTGTTGTTAGATCAAGTATTATGCATGTACCATGTAATTTTTATGCATGAGTAATAACAGATTAGCTTGTATAAATTGTCAACATATTTTATTTTTATTTTTCATGAGCACTGTTAATGATACACAAAAAGTAATGTGAGTTTCGTATTCAGTATGTCAAACTCCATAATGAAACATTAAAAATAAAAGCGAAAAAAAACTTTTATGAAAATTTGTTTCACGGCGTAATTCTGTCAGTTAAATCTCCTATAATGTTTTTGGCCTTATATTGAACATGCTGTGTTAGACCATCCATGTGCTTGTTTGCAGTGTCCTACTCCGACATAGTTTTCGATGTCATCTATTTTCAATTTGTCTAGATTACACTGAGCCACACTCTGAGACATGGATTTGAAGTCGTCCGTCCGTCCCTCTCCCCTCTGGCCTTGTGAAAAACCATTTTTCAGATGAGCAGCGATTAGATGTGAGAGCTGATCTGTCAGTCATGTTAATGTGCTCTGTCAGTTCCACAGTGCTCAGTTATCTTTGCCTAAACTGAGCTCCTGTCATACCGCATACGGGGACAGAGGAGACCCAATGATGCATGTTCAAAAGCAACAACTTCACATGAAATGAAGTGCAAATTGAGCCACATATGATAATTGGAAACATAATTTATTCCCTGACTATAAGTGTTACAGAAACATGGTCTGTTCTCTTTTTTTAATGACGTATAATTAGTGAAGTTTGTGAAGAGGAGAGCTGTTTTGTTTTGTTTTTGTGGATTAAACTGACTTAATTTGACTATGAAAGAGAAAGAGATAGAATATAATGAATGAGACAAAGACACACAGAATACATTAGAGCAAATTAGATCCTTTCTTTGCATAGAGATACTTCAATTAAAATGAGTTAATATTTCAAAGTTTATCAAAAAGCAAAAACTTTTTATATTCAGGGTCCAAAAGTCCACATTGAAAATAAGATATCCAAAATCTAATTTAAACTTACAAAAACAAAAGCGTTATGATGTAAAATGAGATATACTAGATATATTGACTCTACAATATATCTAGGTCATTAATCAAAAAAGTAGATTTGTGACATTGATCATGTGACTCTGTACACATGGTCAGAAGTTTTCCCTTGTATCGAAGCTCAAGATTCTCTTTGGATTGTTCTCAAATCATGTTGGAGAACATGATCATCAGGCTTATTTATTTCATGCTGCTGTCATTAAAGCCAAAGAGGTACAAACCAAATACTAAGAAATTATGAAATTCATTTAAATTAATAGTGAAATTCAAATTTGCAGGGTTTTTTTTCTGATAGCATCATTTGTAATTCAAAATGATTAAATAATCCTTTACACTGTCAGTACTGTTGAACCTGTCACATTTCATCTGCCCTCCACTCCCTAGCATACTCTGTTAAACAGCATCTGTAATATCAAGATAACAAGGCTAAAACCATGTGAAGAAATGAATAAACCTAAATGCAAATGAAACCACTGCATTTTGCCATTATCTGTTGGAAACTGATCTCCTGTTTTTCCCTTAACCTTGAAACACAGGCCTCAGGGTTCATGCAAACATGGCTAGATCAAAACAGGCATTACAAGGAAGAAAGACAGAAAAACAAATAGCCATTTAAAGCCATTTGTCTGTTGTGACAGGGGGAAGTTGTTTTATGAATAAACACTGAGCTTTAGTCTCATCCCCTCAATAGATGGTCTCTTTGTGTTATGTGCTATTATGTCGTGCCCCAGTGCTTTTATACTTTACGAATATACTGTATGGTCTGGGGAGGACTGCACTGATTCACAACTGGACACAGAGTATGTAAAAGTAAAACAAAATGAAACAATTTGCACAATTTGTATGTAATTTAAGAGTTGATATTAAGATACCTTTTTATTTTTAGAAATAGGGAAATTAGAAACTGCAGTGGAAAAGGGCTTCTGGTGTATATATATATTCCAAATAAGTTCTACATTTCCTTGTTTGGATGATAGCCTATATATAGCCTATGTGTGTGTTTGGACACACCCACTTCTTTAATTATTTAATATTACTGATTTCCACATAACAGTAGCTAATGCTAAAATAATACTGCTAAAATAATATCAAAAAAACTAAAAAAACAACATACTTGGAAGTATGGGGATTACGTAACGACCAAACGTCTTGTAAACCTTGTATGCTACATAATATATTTGAGCTATTTTTAAAAAGTATTGGAGTTTCCAATACTTCCAGTGTTGGACATTGTCTGCTCTTCATTCACTATCCTGACCAACATTAATATTTAAAGTTAATTTCATACAGTAGCTACGTACGCACACTTGTCTACAAAACTTATTTGACGCATTTACGCACGTCATTAAATCAACAGTTTATCACGTCTTTAAAACAACACGTTAGTATCATGAGAAACATAAATACACCAAGCTTCAAGACCAGAAGCGAACAGTTCAAACGAGCATCTCAATGTGTCAGCGCTCCCGCAGTGCGCTGCAACTGTCAAACTTCACACATCTATTTCTGGTCGTTGCAACTTTAAAATAAAACAAGAGGCAAACCAAATTACTTTACCGTAGTCTCGCTGTTTCACTGTCTGGCAACGAAGAAAAGACGAACCACCTGCAGCAGAACTGTCACCAAAACGTCTCTAATCACCGAGTACTCAACTGTTAGTCCGCTACCTGCATGCGCGTATCCCGTGCTCTGCCTAGCACACCACGCACTCACGAGAACGAGCGGAACCGTTGTCTCCGCCCCTTGAAAAAGCCAATGTAACAACACTCTGTATCACCGTGCCAAATATTCAAAGACTTTCAATTGGGTTGATAAAAAAAAAAAAAAAAAAAAGATCCTGCCCCTAA